GGGGGGGGGGGAGGGGCGCCGCTTGCCCTTAGTCCTCGACGACCTGCTCAAGGCCCTCGGCGTCGGAGGCGGCCAGGCGGGCGATGCGCATCTGGGTGAGCAGGTTGCGCGCGGCCTTGGAGTGGCGCTGCACACCGCCATTGAAGGCGATGGTGGTGTCCTTGCCGACCTTATCGACCAGGACCTCCGCACCGCCGGGGTGCTTGTCGAAGAAGTCCGCCACGTCATGGACCATGGCGTCGATGACCATCAGCTGGCGGCCCTTGCGCACCTCGGCGTCGAAGGTGGCCTTGGTCCAGAGGGGGAGAGTCTGAGGGCGATAGGGGGGGGGTGAGAAAAGACCTGGCCAGGGGGGGGGGGACATATGAAAAGGGAGGGGGGTGGGGCATGGATGAAGACATACCTCCGGGTCGACACCCCAGCTGATCTCGGAGCGGGTCTGGTCGTAGATGGCCTGCAGGGCATCCAGCTTCTGGGTGAGGATCTCGGCATCGGGCTTCTGCTTGATGTCCACGGCCAGGCCCAGAGCGGCCAGGACCCAGACAATGATGGAGACCAGGTCCAGCTGGCCGGGCAGAGCCCCAGCGCGATGGTCATCCGGGTGGGCATGGTGGAAGTTGAGGAAGTTCTCGCCGAAGGTCAGGACGTTGGCCACCAGGTTGTCGAACCCGGCGTTCGGGCCGAAGAGCTGGGCCTCGCCGAAGGTCCGAGCCAGGGCGCTGGCGAACCAGTTCACCAGGCTGAAGAGGACCATGCGGACGATGCCGGCATAGAAGATGCCGCCCTGGGTACGAGAGGAGGGACGGGGACGGGGACGGGGGGGGGGCGGGGGGGGCACCATCGAATGTCAGTCACCGGAGCCCCATCCGAGCCCCAGCGGAGGGAGACCCTATAACCATGACCAATGATGAATCCGGCAAAATGGCAGGGCCACGCGCGATGGGCGCGAGCAGCCGGGCGATCGGACGCACGATGAGATCGCCCCAAGTGGCGGCGACGAGGCCCGGCAGGAGAACACCGAAGGCCAGCGACAGGATGGGGAACATGGCAAGCTGCAGGGCCACCATGCCGTCGACCTCCAGGTCGGACACCGAGACATTGGCCGGAGCCGGGGTCGTCCGGCCCAGGGGGCCCAGCAGGGCCGAGCGCACAAAGCCAGCCTTGGCATTCAGCGGGTCGGCCTCGGTGTTGGCATGAGCGTGGTGCACCCGATGGCGGAGAGCCCAGTCGATGGCCGGGCCCTCGAAGGCATTGGCCGCGCCGAAGCCCAGCAACAGGAGCTTCACCAGCGGAGTGGACACGCGCACATTCCGGTGCGCGGCCATCCGATGGTACCCGAGGTAGTGGCCAATGTGCCCGAGGAGGTACATCCCCCCGGCCAGGGCCAGGGTCTTGCAGTGGGCGTCAGGGGCCAGGCCGAGGTACGGGGCGGCCAGCGTGCCGGCCGCCGTCGCGGCAAACAGGCCCGCCCGCAGCGGGTCGATCACGAAGGTGGCCGGCTTGGCGCTGGCGGCGGCCTTGCTGCCACCGGCGGGGGTGGCCTTAGAAGGGGGCGGGGCTACGGAGGAAGCGCCCTGCTCCGCGGCGAAGGACTTCGAGGCGGCCATGATGGGGGGGGGGGGGGGGGGGAGCTGTGGGATGCGCCGACATCGCGTGTGCGCAAGGGGGAGGGGAGATTAGCGCCGGATGGGCGGTGTGTGTGTGTGTGTGTGTGTGTGCGCGCGCGCGCGCGCGCGTATGTACATGGATGGGGGACGCACCTGGTCTCTCCGGGCAGATCTCAAGCCTGGAGGGGGACGGGGGAGAGGGGGGGGAGGGGGACAGGCGAGGGAGGGGAGGGGGAAGGGCCAACGAGCACTGATCTGTGGTCCTCGGGGGGGGGGATAACGGGAGCCTTGACCGGACAGCCCGAGGAGCGGGCGCGGAAAAAGGTCGGTCAGCACACAGGGAGACAGGACGTGCTGTTGGCCTGCCCCCGCGCCCCTCTCTCCCCGAGAGGCAGTGGCCACACCCGCAGGTAGGCGCGTGTGGCGGGGGGCGAGGGCCGTGGCGGAGGGGGGGGCGGAGTAACATGCTGTCGGTCCTACACGCTCGGGACAAGGACGGTCCCCCCCCCCCCCCCCCCCCCCCCCCCCCCCCCCCCCCCCCCCCCCCCCCCCTGTGTGCGGGGGTGTGTTGCAGATGAGAAAGC